CAAAAGCAAAACAGTTAAAGCCATATTGAAAACAACATGCAATAAACAATACATCCGGACATAATGAAACTGGGCCAGGCCAGAGTCGTGGGTACAAGAGCAAAAGTGCCGATGTGGCAGGAGGTGTGTAGGATTAGAGGGCAAGTGCGGAGTGCGCTGTGCAGTCGTCTTAGTTCTACTAAAGTGCTTCTGGGACTTGTTCTTGGAGATTCCTACTCTGGGAAGGCACGTCGGAACAGCCAGGTCTTCAAGTTCTTTCTCAAGACTGCCAATGTCGGGGCCTGCCTGAGATCTTTAGGGAGGGTGTTCCAGAGTCGGGGGGCCACCACAGAAAAGGCCCTGTCCTGCGTCCCCACCAGACGCGCTTGTGACGCAGGTGGAGTCGCGAGCAGGGCCTCTCCAGATGACCGAAGTGAACGTGTGGGTTCATAGATGGAGATGCGGTCACGCAGGTAGGCAGGTCCCAAACCGTTTAGGGCTTTGTAGGTGAGCACCTGCACCTTGAATTGGGCTCGGAAGATAAATGGCAGCCAGTGGAGCTCCTTGAACAGGAGGGTTGACCTCTCTCTGTAAGGAGACCCAGTCAGCATCCTGGCTGCTGCCCGTTGGACCAGTTGGAATTTCCGAGCCGTTTTCAAGGGCAGCCCCACGTAGAGCGCATTGCAGTAATCCAATCTAGAGGTGAGCAGGGCATGGACCACCCCGGCCAGATCAGCCTTCGCGAGGTACTAAGAGGCACACAGTGGATGTGCCTCTTAGTGGAACATGCCACATTGTCTCAGGATGTGCACGCCCAACACGCCTGGAGAAATTATACTGTTTAGATGGCATTGCACCACCTGACATCCATTGGGAAGTAGCTTGTAATGAAAGGGCCAAGGCAGTAGAGATGCTGCCACCTCGGTCCTTTCATTAGTGGCTACTTCCCAACGGATGTCAGGTGGCCCATTCTGTGTTTGGAACACCTCAGCAAGTTAGAGTCCAAAAGTGGCAGGCCAAAGCACTTGGAGTAGTAGTAGCAATAATAATAATAATAATAATAATAATAATAATAAAAACTTCATGTATACACCGCTCCATCTACCCCGGGGGGACTAGGTGCAGCTTACACGAGGCCACACCCATCAGTACAATACACACAATAAACACAAAAGCATAACAAAACCAGAAAATAAAATACATAAAATGGAAAACAACACAACATTATAAAATCAACTATTCAAACAGAAAAGATTTCCACTTTTGGGCAGGGCCAAATGCAAAGATAAAATTTCAAAACGCTGGGAGAGAGGGCAATGTCAATTTCCGGGGAGGAGGATCCAGGGATAACGAAGGATTGAATTGCACAAACCAGAAAATAAAGTGCTTCTGAGGTCATTTTATGCAAAGTTTGGTCAGGGAGTATCTTACATTCAGTCATTGAAGGCACCAGGTTTTCAGATTCCTCCTGAAGATGGCCAGGGTGGGGAGTGAATTCCAGAGCCGGGGGGCCACCACAGAGAAGGCCCGCTCTCTCTCTCTTGTCCCCACAAGTTGCACTTGCGATGCGGGTGGGAGAGAGAGAAGAGCCTCTCCGGAAGATTGAAGAGATCGTGTGGTTTCGTAGACGGAAATGCGTTGGCGCAGGTAGGCGGCAACAAAGATGCTAAACAGAAACCATCATCTGCTCCCAAAGAGTTTCATCATCTATGCTGACGATCATGGCATCACCGCTCAAGCAGGGAGCTTGTAAATGGTTGAGCAGAAGCTCTCTGAAGCTTGAGGTGCTCTTACTGCCTATGACAGAGAAAATCAGCTGATTCCCAGTCCATCTAAAACACAGACGTGTGCTTCCATCTTACGAACAGACAAGCACCTCGAGTTCTGAGGCTTATTACCTGGGAAAGAATGAATCCCATGGGAGTATTGCAGCGCACCCAAGTACCCGGGAGTCACTCTGGACCGTGCTCTGACTTACAAGAAGCATGGCTTGACTATCAAGCAAAAAGTGGGCGCTAGAAACAATATCGTACGAAAGCTGACTGGCACAACCTGGGGATCACAACCAGACACAGTGAAGGCATCTGCCCTTGCGCTTTGCTCCTCTGCTGCTAAATACGCATGCCCAGTGTGGAACACATCTCACCACGCTCAAACAGTGGATGTGGCTCTTAATGAGACATGCCGCATTGTTATGGGGTGTCTACGCCCTACACTGTTGGAGAAATTACACCCGACATCCACTCTGAAGTAGCAGGCAATGATGAAAGGACCAAGGCAGTGACCAAGGCATCCTCTGTTCGGATCTCAGCCAGCACACCAATGCCTAAAATCTAGAAATAGTTTTCTAAGATCTACAGAGGTACTTGTAGGAGCACCTCAGCAAGTGAGAGTCCAAAAGTGGCAGGCTCATACCCAGCACCTGAATCAGTGGCTGAGACCGGATGAGGAACTCCCAGCCGGGCAGAGAGAAGAGCAAACCAAACAGACTACCTGTTGCAATATAATAATCTGAGCCCCCTTCGGCGTGAGAAGGGCAGCACATAAATGTCGCAAATCAATCAGTCAATCAATCAATCAATCAAATGACATTTAGTACAATGCCAAGTTTTTAACTTTTTTTTAAAAAAATACATTATAACTGCCGCGATAAATAAAAATAAATACCCCCCTCCATGCATATGGGATATATTGAGTAGGGTGATCAGATCATGATGGCGCCCTACACCACTGGAGAAATTACACTGCTTATCCGGTATTGCTAGAAATAATATCATACGAAAGCTGACTGGCACAACCTGGGGATCACAACCAGACACAGTGAAGGCATCTGCCCTTGCGCTTTCCTACTCCGCTGCTGAGTATGCATGCCCAGTGTGGAACACATCTCACCACGCTAAAACAGGGGATGTGGCTCTTCATGAGACATGCCGCATTATCACGCGGTGCCTGCGCCCCACACCACTGGAGAAATTACACTGCTTAGCCGGCATTGCACCACCTGACATCCGCTGGGAAGTAGCAGCCAATAGCGAAAGGACCAAGGCAGGGACATCTCCAGCCCATCCCCTGTTTGGGTATCAGCCACCACGTCAACGACTTAAATCTAGAAATAGTTTTGTAAGATTGACAGAGACACTCAATGGAACACCTCAGCAAGCGAGAGTCCAAAAGTGGCAGGCTCAAACCAAAAACTTGATAATAAATGAGAGACTCCCCACTGGGCACACAGAGGATGGGGCAAC